AATTTTCATGGCCATTGCCACCAATTGTGCCTCTAGAGGCAAATGCAGCTGGAATAATTTGAGGCTGATCAGTTTTGTCCATGAACTTGTATGGAAACTGCTTGATTGTTCTGTTTAAGTACTCAAGAGTAATGTACTTTTCTACTTGCCTGTCGTGATTTAGCTTGGTCCTGGATTCAAATGCTCCTGTCCGTACCTCTATCTGTTGGATTTCGCTCTTTTTCTCCATACAGAAGTGACAGGGGTGTTCCACAGTGAAACTCTCTTGGAATCCTGCCAAGGAATAGGCACAAAGGTTATCAGCAGACATAGAGAACAGTTCCCCTTACACATTCTCCTAATCGCTCCACAAAGATGCCATTTTTCTCTACATTTTTCAGGTCTTGAACAAGAGGGTGTGGGACTTTTTCATATCCATATAAGACTGCCAGCTGAATCGCCTGAAGAGAAGACCGATACTTAGAGGGCAGATTGGCAAGGACCCAGTAAACACTGAACATCTTGTGTTTCTTTTTCGAAGTGCCAAGAGGATTGGCAATCTCAAATTCATCTGTGTAGAGGGTAAGTAAAATCCTGGAGTTCTCTGCCATCAGAAAAGGATTCTCAGGGTAGTTAGTGCCAACTCTGTAAGAGCTAATTCCACATGCACTGTCAACAGGGGCAAGAACTTTATTAAGGACATCTGATCTGTTCAAAAGCAGCTGTAACATTTTCAAAATTGGCACATATGCAAATGACTGTGATTCTTTGTCTGGTTTATATTCTGTTGGCATAACTATTGGAAATTCTTTCTGAAAGTATGATGCTCTTTTACTGATTATAGAGAGAGGCTCACCAGAATCAGTCGTTTTTAATATCAGATTATTCTCTGTGACAACTTTCACAATGTCTTTCAAAATAGATTTTAAATCCAAATCAAATCGGATTCATTTGTTGTATTACTTCCTGTAATCAGAGATATGCAGAATGGTTTGCATCTTAAGGAACAGCAAGCCCTTTGACACAACCAGTAATGCATAAAGCGCTATACAAATAAAGGTGACTTGACTTGACTATTTACCTTACCGATGTACAGTGCATGATATAAACAAGTGTTGTGTGAAGCATGGCGGTGCTATAGTGTGTGTGTTTGATATATATATATATCAGAGGCAATCACAGCCGCTGATATAGAGCCGGTATCGCTCGAGTACAAGAGTGATATTGCATTTATACAACAGTTCGGCGGAACATGTGTGGTATTAAACAAGAAACAACGGAGTGCCTAATAAAACCCTCTTTTGTGCGGAACTACAGGTGCATCTCAATAAATTAGAATGTCGTGGAAAAGTTCATTTATTTCAACAATTCAACTAAAATTGTGAAACCGATTAGCTCAGTGAATAATTTTTTTAAAAACATAGACCCGGCTAGAACAAGCGGAGTGATACAAAATTGTGAAAGGGCGTTCCTGTAGCGATACCAGTACAATATCACATGGTTCTCAACCAATCAGATTTGAGAACCAGAACAAACTGTTGTATATATATTATTAAAAGAAAGTTCCAAGGCGTTTTTGTATGGTTAAGCTTTATTGTTTTGCCACATGATGAACAAAATAGAATGAAAAAATAGTTCCCCCTCCCTTTAAATGTAAGAGATTTCTAACTTGTTACCCCACGAGAAATTGAATCATCTTGTTAATTGTAATCACACCTTCCTGCTTGATAATGAAAAACCACTTATTGATTGGTCTGATTTAAATTATATATGACCGTTATGTGATTTAAAGACACCCCAGTGTGTGTGTGTGTGTGTGTGTACCTACTTAACCATATTTTGGGGACAAATTTGTACCCAAAAGTGAACTAAACCTGACAAAATCTGCAAAAACCTCCCTACTTAAACTACTTCAGTCTGTGTGCATTGAATTTATTTAATACACGAGTTTCACAATTTGAGTTGAATTACTGAAATAAATTAACTTTTCCCATGACATTCTAATTTATTAAGATGCACCTGTATATATATATGTGTGTGTGTGTGTGTGTGTGTATATATATATATATATATATATATATATAAACCAAAAGCATCTTAAAACAGTCATTGTTTGTCTTAGTTTCTAATATCTCTTTTGTAGCTCAGAGCGTTTCTGTTCATGAAATTACTCTGTTGTATGTTTTATTCAGAAGAACCATCTTGAGGTTGAAAATTGTGAAGTTCTGTCTCTGAAGATCCTGTTATTCTGTTTGCCGGTGTTTGTGGACACAGACTGTCCCCAGTATGATCAGGCTTGAACCTATCAGCAAATTTCTTGAAAGTTGCTAACATCAATCTGCAAAAACACAAAAACAAAAGAACGGAAAACAAGTTTGTTTAAACTTTATTAAACATTATTTGGACTCCATTATAACCTCCAGAGATACACAAAGACCATTTGGCTGGCGACTAAACTGTAGTCCGGTGTAAACTAAACATCGTAGCCCCCCACCTGCCATATCTTCTTCATGAGGTTGGCCCCCAAGTCACTAAAAGACAAGGTTCTTCCCCATGACTCCATCCTACAGCATTTCGCCAGTCTCATTCAAATTATTTACAGTATAAGCTCATTTAAGCAATAAACCACCTGATAAAATTAAGAGCTGTATCGTACAAGGAAAAACAACTGAAGCAAAAAATCATTGTGTTAGAAGCAATAAAAAGGTGTCATGTTTATCTGTCTTGATACATTTGATGAGGACAGAATGCCTGATAGGATGTTGGATGTGTAAATTATGCAGTTAAACCTTACATACCTCCACCAACAGACAGCTTACTGAAATTATCAATGATGGAGGTGCTAGTATCTTCAGCAGCAGCTTGTGGCTGGTCTCTTCCTCTTTCTTCTCCATCTCTAAGCTGATGGTCAGACGGTGGAAGTGGAGGATTATTTGGGTTGTTCATTTGGGCCTGTTCTCTCTCTGTCTGCACTCTGACTTTCAGCTGAGCAAAGGTATTCTCAAATAAATTCAGATTTTCCTCACCGCTTTGCACAAGGACAGTGCCAGTAGTGTAAAAGGATATCGTGAGAATGGGATCATTTGCGTCAAGCCTTTTATCTTGAAATATGGTAAATATTTCTCCACGGTAAATTTCTGTTTTAACAACATGCTGGTATTCATATTTAATGACTGATTTCCATTCAGTAATCAGCGTGGTGTAGAAAATTAAGTTACTCTTCATTCTTCTCCCTTCCTGATGACTGCAGTCAGCATAAAGAATATCAGGATTTATTCTCAGGATCCTCTTTTTGTATCTTTTCCTGGCCTTTTTAGTGGTAATCCTCTCTGGATAATCAATCTCCCTGCTCCCTGCTTGGTCATTGGTCGCCATGGTGTTCTGGTAACTATGGCAGAGCTGCAGCTGCAGATTTCAGCTTTGAATTATGAAATATTTTATATGATATAATTAGATTTTGATTAAGTTTTTATGCTTTTTATGCCAGTCAAATCTCAGCTGTTTACTATTTGAATATCACTTCTGTGGTACTCTATTTAGTCCTTTAGTGTTTTGGAGGGAATCTGCAGGATGATGGTCCAGTAGTCAGATGCATCAGTCTTCTTTCTTATGTCAAAATGTATTTTCTATGGGGAGAAAATAGAGTGGTGACTACAAGTGTTACTAAAATTGGAGTTTAGATTTCTAAGGTGCAGTAAAAAGCATTATGTAATCATTCACAATATCATTGTGGCTAATGACTTTATGAAAAAACTGTTGATATATCTGATATATGTATTAGTATTAATGTCATATTTAAAGGGTTAGTTCACCCAAAAATGAAAATTCTGTCATTAATTACTCACCCTCGTGTTGTTCCAAACCCGTAAGACCTTCGTTCATCTTCGGAACACAATTTAAGATATTTTTGATGAAATCTGAGGGCTCTCTGCGTGATGACGTCTTTACGCCAGATCTGGGTCAGCGCCGCCACATGCTCACGTATATGGTACTGTCGTGAACGCGCGTCCACAAGTGGACCTTGAACGTGGTAGTTACCTTGCTGTCTATGGGAGGGTCAGAGAGCCCTCAGATTTCATCAAAAATATCTTAAATTGTGTTCCGAAGATGAACGAAGGTCTTACGGGTTTGGAACAACACGAGGGTGAGTAATTAATGACAGAATTTTTGGGTGAAGTAACCCTTTAAGTTTACAGCTACTTATTCATATTGTATCAAGCTGATAATCAGCCTTAATGCAGTTTTGCTCACAACAATGACATTCACAAACTTAAATGTCAATTTATTTCAATAATGTAGGCCTAATAGTAATTCTTATTTTCACAAAATATACAATCAAGTGAAAATCAAGTGTACAATTAGGGTATGTTTACATGACATTAATTGTACTAAAAATGGAAAAGTTTTTCCTTTGCATTTGCACGACAATGTTGTCAAAATGATCCCCGTTCACACTAATCTGTGAAAACAACTGAAACCGCTGTATTATTCATGCTAGGCCAGTAGTTAGCAAAGTCACTTTGTAAAGAAACACTAAGCATCTCCGCACATACCTACAGACTGAACACTCATGGATTAATAATTTTCACAAATTCACATTTTTGAAGTTTACACTATGGCGATAACGGTATTGTTTTCAAAAACTTGCACTTTAAAACGGTTTTCAAAAGTTTGCATTTTCAGGACCCCAAAATGCTGTTGTTATGTAAATAAACAGCCAAAATGCATAAACATTTTTCCATTTTTTATTTGAAAATTATGTTGTGTAAATTCCCACTTTGTTCATGGGGCATTTATACAAATGAATGAGAAAAATTTAATGGAATTGCATGGGAATTGAACACTAATTGGATAATTACAGTGTTTATGTTTGCTAACTGCTACAATCATTTCATTTAAGTAACAGGTTACTGAAGGGGAGGGATTGAAATGCTTTTGACTATGTTGTTTATTTGGTATGATGTGTATTGTATGTTCGAACATTCATTTATTGAATGTAAAAGTTTTTTTTTTTTCCTTGCCTTGTGAATGGCCAATCGGGAGTCCAGGCAGAGGTAAGGGGCAGAGCTAGAAGGGAGAGAGAAAAAGACAGTGGATGAGAAAGAGACGGGATGAGACAACGAACAGTGTATATGATAATTTGATTCTTGCGTTTTGATTTGAACCCCCTAATCTACAATTACAACTCAAGTAACTAATTTATAGTGTGAATGTGGAGATAGGGGACTTTTAATCAAAGTTCCCAGGACTCTGTAATTTGAGAGTTGTGTGAATAACCAAAGACTTTAAATATACAAAGATGGTGCACGCCTATGACTTATGAATGGGAGAAATATAGCGGAATAGCCCCGCCTTCTGAATAAAACAACCAATCGCTAATTGGTAAAGTCATTGCGTCACTGCAGAAAACAACATTTATGAGACAGTTCTTGTCAGATTTTATTGGCGATTTCAAATATGAAATTTAATTATAAGCTTTGTGAACAGTTTTGGAGAATTTGATGTTTCCCCATTCAAAGAGATTGATATTGGATGCCCGAAATAGCTGCCTGGAGGCATTGCAAATATGGCCGCCAAGTGAACAGACTTTCCTTGAAAGGGACTTTGACGCAACTCAGGTGTTGTACTAAGCTACTCTGTTAGCAGAATCTAAACAAGTGAGTGCTCCGTGCAGAATCTGTGGCAGAGACATTGGGTGCTTCTCAATACTCAAATTGATGCTTCCTCGTTTCCTCGCTCCACCATCCTCGAGCCTGTGACCCGGAAACCGATCAAACTTCAAGCCATCTTGAAGGACATCTCAATTCTCTAATTGCACTGCGAGGATCGAGGAATGAGGAAGCTTCCAGAGGAGCTGTGATCGAGGATACACAGGTGTATCCTTTGTGTTAGTCTTTTTCGTCGAAAAACCTGACGCATGTAAAATTATCCTCCTCCTTTACATCTGTTGTAATAATTGTAATTTATATTTTACCTTTGCAGTTTACATAAACCATACATGTCATATTTTTCAAACAGGGCATCTTGCTTTATTAATATTTATTATGTCTTAAATATCAAACTTTAACAATATAAGGGCAGATTCCTTTAGCGCAGCCGATGACGCTTTGAAGTGACGCTTGAGTGATCAAGAATATTCCAATGTACAAATAACCGTTCCTTTGATTTCTCCATCCTCATTTTCTTTCCTTGCATCCTTCCCTCATATCCTAAGGGGGGTGGAGCTAAGGACGGAAACGAGGATGCACAAATAAGAAATGAGAAGTACCCATTGATTTATCTACGAGGACAACGCGAGGACACCAGACAGCGCTCCGGAGGCGAAGGATTCAGTTGCTCATTGTCAGCGAGAGTCGTGATTTTGTGCTTCAGAAGAGAACCCATTTGTCTAGTCCGAAACGATCATTTGATTATCATTGCTCCATGTCCCGGAACACTGTCACCAGTAGGTACATTTTATGCTTTATTTTCTCTTCTGAACTGAATGGATATTCATTTATGGGCCCCAACGAGCTAGCAATGGTTGTAAGAACTATGGGTTTCACTGCTAATTGAAGAGTTGAATACCTTAAATAATTGTAATCTTTGAAAAGTGATTTTGCAAACTGAAACACCTTTCTGTATTTTATTTCATCTTGTTTATTTGTTCTATTTGATTCTTAATACATCCCTTATTTCTGTACAAGCATCTCTGATGCACTTAATCATAGGCCAATCATACATTGATTGTTTTGATTGTTTAAAAGTAGAGGCTCTGATCTTTATTTTGGTGTATTGCATATTCAAATATTCATACAGCAAAATATTCTGGAGGCCATCAAATTTTAGTGAAAATCATCAAAATCGCTGGCGGTGGCTGGCAACTTTTGAAAAAAATGCTGGCGGGGAAAGAGTTAATGGTATAATTATTATTTTTTTTTTAATCAGGGTGCTGTCTCTTTAAGAGAGTCAAGCGAGCGCTACACAGACACTAGTAAAGGGGTGTAAAACTCAGTTCCTGGAAGGCCACAGCCCTGCAGTGTTTAGCTGTAACCTGCTCCAACACACATACATTTAGATTTAAAACAAACCGTAAGGACTTGATTAGCTGGATCAGATGCGTTTAATTAGGGTTGCAGCTAAACTCTGTAACTTTCCAGGAACTGGGTTTGGCACTCCTGGACTAGTCTGTTAGTCAGAATGAAAGAATTGTGAAATACCATCACAAAGACAACAATTAAAAACATAAATATCTAATGAAAAACTAATAACACAGAGGGTGAATACAAGTGCAGGAATGAGCCAAGATTCATAATGGATTTAACACTGTCTACACTGGATGCGAGCAGCATGGTGCAAAAGCAAAAAGAACCCACTATATCACTGATACTGTCTGGTAGAAACTCTTAAACTTAGGTGGGAGAGATTCTGGGTCATATTGCTGTTTTATGATTAGCTGCTTTAAAATTTTACATTATAGTCACAGACACACACAAACAAACATAAAAGCAAACTTTCTGTGATTCTCTTACAAAAGACACATTGGATCTTCTTGATCATGATATAATAAGGATGTTTAAATAAAATCATCAAAATTACTTAAGCACAGCATGAAGCACAAAGTTATCAATGTCTCAGCACAAGACGAAACACATGCACATGAAAATAACTTATCAAAATGAATCACTCACCTCCGATAATATTTGAAGAGTTTTATTTTCCTGATCTGAATTGTCGTGTTGAACAGCAGCTCTGAAATTTCTTTCACTTCTGGATGTTTATAAAGTCCTGAGGGAGTTTTCCATTTTGAGACATGAGAATAAACAACTCCACATGTTCAACATCTGTGGTGACTCATAGGGCAGAGTTTGTTAATTTCTACTTGGGCACCCTGTGGTTTGGTGGTAAGCACCATTGTTTCAGTAGATCCATCAGCAGAAATTTGAGGTCCCTGATCTGTGGGAAATATCAAGGCTATTGTAGTAACAGTGGTTGTCTAGTTGTAGTGAGTGTTGCGACATCCCTGAACAATCTGGTTTTGAGATTAGTACATTTACATGTATTTACTTGTACTTGCAGTATTAGTTTCTCCCAGAGAGTGATCATAATCTGCCCAGATGGGTTTTGTATGAAGCAATCTTGAATTTCACGTGTGGTGTCCCAGGCAGTTACATTTGTTGAGGGTGTAGTTTAACCACTGTTCCCTTAAGTTTGGGCACCTGAACAACCAAAATGTATATTAATTGCTTGAATTTACATCTTTTTGTTCTATTAATAGTAGATAAAACTTTAACAGCCCCACTAAGAAAAGTTCAATGGACATTCTTTAAATTTTATTTTGTTGGGACATTCCCTTGATCTTTTGACAGATAAGAGGTCATTGCACTATAAAAACATCTTGTATGTTTCAGAACTCTAAAACTTTCTCGTTAGTCTATAAACAGCTTATATTGAAGCCCATCTGCCAAAATGACAGCTTGTTGAATGTGCCACTTTATGATGTAATAGTGTGGCTAAACTCCACCTCCGCAGAAGAAGATCAACGCCTGCTTCTACATCACTGCCTGTTTAGCTCCGCCCACCGATTTGCGCATGTAGTGTAAATAACAAGAGAGGCAAATGCAGGTCTACACAGAAACCAAATGATAAAGATGATCCGAAGATAACAAGACGCTGTGCAGTGCCAAGCTATGGAAACAGTCTTTGCATCGCCTTCCTTCTGATCCCAACATTAAAGAGTGAATCAACTTTATTTTTAATGAAGATCCAGACAGCATCAGTAAGAACTGCTTCCTTTGTTCACTTCATTTTACTGAAGATTCGTTTACAAACAAGGCATAATGCTGTGAATCATTTTACGAAGTCTGTAAAAATATACCTCCGATTTCTTTGTACAGTCAATCGCAAAGCTCTTTCCTGTTTTAGATGTGTTTTGTGTTTTTTTCCGCAGCATTCATGCTGAAAACCAATGCTTCCACTCACGTCTTTTTGCCACTCAGTGGGCAGAACCGCAGTCACTCCGGCCGACGGTGACGTCATGTGCATACCCTCTGGGATCCTCAAATCTGGCCCACGATATCCACTTTCCTGCAGAGTTTAGCTCCACACCTGAGCATGCTAATCAATGTCTACAGCATCATTAGAAAAACAAAAAGGGAGTTTGATCAGGGTTGGAGCTAAACTTAAAATTAAAAATCATTAAAATAAATAAATTAAATCTCACACAGAACAGTTAAATCTTTATAATACAATATAATATAATATGAAAAAAATAAGATTGGCCCTCCAGGGCAAGATTTGAGGAACCCTGCTTGTTCCTTCTAAGCTGCACGTGTGCAAGGCCACGCACTTCTTATGTCGCTGCCTCAAGGACATTCATGAGCAATACTGCTTAATTTTTTCATATTATATGATATAATATTATATTATATTATAAAGATTTAACTGTTTTGCGTGATTTTTTAAAAATGTTTAATAGAATGTTTTGGTAACAGCACTTAGGTAATTTACTGCATTTGCACAAAATTCTCAGGTAATCTAAAATGTGCATCATTTAGTTACATCAAGGGTCAAATCAAATATAAATACCACATTAAAGTTAAAAGTTACACAAATTTTTATGTGTGTGCTGTACAGGTCTCGTATAAAGAATGTTTTTGCTCAGGTGGCTGAAATGTACGGAAGTTCTAAGCGGCCATGCATTATTTTTTTTTCCTTCTTGTTTTCTCGTTATAACGACTTAATTTTCTCGTG